ACAGAAAAGCCCAGGCGTAAGAACAGAGACAAATGGATAAGATGTAGGAAACAACATTCACAACAAAGGTCACTTTACATACGGGATCATCATTTTGTGATATGAATTATGTCCCAATGTCTTTTTTAATACATATGTGTGATATTCTGTTGTTGAGCAGTTGTGTGAAGCACTTTCAACTAACCAGTTTGAAGATCTTAAAGAAGTCCAGGTTCGCATAGAGGATGTCCTCAATCCTCTGCAGCCGTTGCTGGCTGAGAGCACACATAGCGTTGCGAACCCCATGGAGTCCCATACGACTGGGGAAGATGATAAAGCGCTCCAGCAGGGCCTGACTGCACGCTATGTCTTTAAGCTGCAGGTCTGGGATACCAAATGCAAACTAGACGAGGTGGATAGAAAGGGTGGAAAGTATTCGTGAATGTGTAATGCAAAATATTTTCAGTGGTGTATATTTCAAAGATTCAACATATATAATTGCACAGTAGTAAACAGGTTTTTTTTTTGTTTTTCTTTCTTTTTTTTCTTTTTTTATAAATATGGGTTTACAACACAATGATGCACCACAAAAACTAATCCCAACCATTACATTGAAGCCGTGATAGCCCAGTATCAGTCTAAACAGCACCTGTTCAAGTCGTATTTGTCCATTGATGAGCTGGTAAACAATAGATTCCGAGAGGCTGGCATCTCTTAACAGGAAGGCTGTGAGAACTTCATCATCCTTCAGAATATCATTTATCTTTAGCCCACGGCCTAAATGGAAAATCATAAACAGAGATAATGAAAGGTCAGAATCTCAAAAAACAATATTAACCTGACGGGTACTGGACTGCTCAGAGGAAATAATTTGGACAGACTAGCAGCAATTTGGTGTTGCAGGGAAGAGAACAATGAGCAGGAGGAAATGTGTTCGTACAGCTAGCCCTGCCAAAAGGTAAAGCTAATTTCGATGGAAGAAATATTAAGAATAATATTTCTTGGAAGTGTCTTCAGGCCAAGACCATAAATAATCCTCTGCATGGTAATGTAGAATAATGTGAATGTTACTGGGAAATAACAGATCAAACTGAAAAAAAGTGATGGGAAACAAGAGTTTATACACTAGCCTGGAATATCTTTATGTAGCTGTGGTATGAAATTATTGCTTCTGTCTGGTTAATTTAAGCATTAATAAATAAATAAAAACTTTTTAAAGGAAAAGTCTGAAGACCTCTGTTTTTACATCATCAAGAAAACTACACTCCAAAACAGCTAACCTGCTCTGAATACTCTCTCTCTGTTCAGATTACAGAGTCAAAAAAAAACAAAAAAACAGGCCTATTTAACATAATAAGCAGTGCTACTGTCTGACCGTTTTCCACATTTGCCCTTTACCTGAGATCACAGATGGGTTATTGCGTAAAGTGTCCATCAAGTTTGAGAAGGATGACATTTCATGCCAAAGCCGGCGGAGGTGCTGGACTTCTGTCTCGTTGAGCAGAAGGTCCTGAACATTAACATAGAACTGTGCCAATCTGGGGTAAACCAAAAAAAAAAAAACACTGAATGAAATGTCAAAAACAAATGATTTTAAACAAACCAAGCAATTACAAGTAAGGTTTAGAAGTGCTGATTTTGTGCTCACATTGAGTTGTTATAGTTGGACACAACACCTGGGGACTCTCCTCGGGTTGGATATCTGAAGCACGGGTTGTTGCTGTTGCAGATGATGCCCTGGATCCAGGGGAGAATCCCTGCTGAGGGCATAGCCTTGTTAGGGAAATGACCTGAAGAAACAGAAAATACACAGAGAGCATGTGAGGAATTGTGACTTCATTTTAAACGTATTTCCACAGAATTAGCATAAGTTATTCTTCCCACGAAAAAAATAAAATAAAACTCTGATACAAGTTGTGATCTAGTTTATATTGCTGATAGATCTTAGTCAGGAAGTTGTTCTTACACTCATGTTGTTGGTACAGTGGGTTGGCCTTCCTCAGCCACACCAGACCAATAAATAACAACATTGGCCAGAAGATCTCCACCAGGAAGCGAATCTTTACAAAAAAACAGGTGAAACAGTCATATACAGTGAATTACCAGAACACAAGAAACACTTACACAATACGATGCAGCTGCTACAAAATAAAACCTACAGGTTTCAATATTACTACATCAAGTTTTTGTTAGGAATGCTGTGTCAGACTGCTGCAAATAAAACTTCTGAGGCTGTAGTTTGCAGTGTTACTTTGTGTTTCTAAACTTTTGTCAGACCTAAGCATTTTTACCTTCTGTCTCTTGCGAAGTGTCCAATTTTTCCACAGTAACAGGCGGATTTGAGAGCCTGTCTTCATCGCTTTGCAGCTCAACCCCTAGAAGGGGTCATCAGACTGTGATAAACCTGCAGGTAACACAACCCCATTAGTGCTGACACACAGACATTGGACAAACTGGATCACATTACTGGTGATGAGGAGGACACAGGGTTTTTGTACTCTGGTCTATATATTTGGCCTTGATAACACTTGTCTTATCTTGGTCTGGGTGCCTATTTTATATCAGACCTGGACTTGCTTTGTCCATTATTTTTCATTACAAAGATATGGTTTACTTTTCTATGTCTTTCCACAACTTAATCAAAAAATGTAAAATACCTAAACTTCTGCATATTGATACAACTGTCAATATTGTTTCATCACTCAAAGCAAAAGCCATAAAAAAAATCCTCCTTAAAGAAAGGCATACAGACGTGTATTTTTGGAAATGTACTGACTTTGTGCTAGATTTTGATTAGAACTGGACTTGCCTAAAACTTCACTGTACCCGGCTTTAGAATGAACTTGGATTGGTTTAAGGTGGTCGTGACAGACCATCCTTGAAACTACTTCTGTAAAAGATTCTGCTGATGTGCTCCTGAGCAAATCCCTACCAGTTTATTGTGTGGGCATATGATGGCAAAAGGACACAGGAGTTTCCCCACAGGTGGAATACAGGCTGGTACAATAAAACTACTATCAAACACTAAGACCATATAACCTTGATGTCAAAATGTGAACCTGAATGATACACTTGATAGAATTTGAACCTCCTCTGTCAATCAGAATTATTCTAGAAGAGAAATTCAATTCAGAAATACAAGAAAAAAATGAATGCCAATGGCATTTACAGGTTATGCACTGATGGAACATCAGCGAATGTTGAACATGAAGAGTAATTTGTTCAGAGTGACATGTCCAATAGATTACTGCAGACTGCCAGACAGAGGATGCAGGGACATAAACACTTGTGTAGAAAAAACAATGGGGGAACTGTAAGACTAAAACAGAAGAGTGCAGGCTATCATTATGTGTCTGACTTCTCTGAAATCCCCTCATTACTCAAACAGTAATTACACGTGACAGAATTTCCTTGCACAAGCTTTGCAGAATAAATGTAGAAATTTTGTGGCACACACATATAATCATCAAAAAAATTGCTGCATCTAAGCAAGTAATATATAAATAGAAAAATCTATATAAAAACATTTCAAAAGCATCCACGAGGATCTGTCATGACCTTATACTAGAATTTAAATACAAGAAAAACTCAAAACAGTAATTAGCAACCATACACCTGTCAGCTCTTATATGATTATCCAACACATTACATTTTATCAACAGAAATATTGAAATATTAAATTCTGATGCTTACCTCTTATGGAAGAATAAAAAAGTCGAACAACATGTAGAGAAAAAGGGTTCACAAACAAGCTGAAGTAATGGAAAACATTAAGCAAGGTAGAAGAGCTCCGTATGACTCCTAGCTGCCCACTCACTCTCCTCTGCCTGCAGGTCAGCAGCAGTCCTAAGCTGATTGCTCTAATCTCCCAGCTCAACATGGGCAGGCAGAAAAAAGACAACAGTCATCCATTTTGAAGCAGAATTAGGGGGATATCTGCTGAAGAGGGAATGAAGATCATGGTGGAGGGAAACTGTCCCATCCTGAAGGTGAGGTGTGTTTGTCAAAAATGCATCAGCAAGATTTACCTGCACAGTCATTATAGGTCAATCTAGAAGAACGTCTTCCAGCTAAGAACCTATGGAATAAATTACAGCTTGGAGTCTGGAGTTAGAACTGATCAGACCAACAGAGAAGAGGGTTTGTTTCAAGATTTGTGACGCAAAGTGGAGCAGGTGACACGGGTAATTAGGCGAGGAGAATATGAACCCTTGACAGTAGCACATTAAAACTGCTTGGAACTACTGTGAACTATGTCTATAGCAGGTTTAGCCCTGGACAAAAAGTTAACAGCTCAAATAAAACAAGTTATGAAAAAAATCTGACAGGACGGGATCCATGGCTGAAAGACAAAATGCAATTATAAATAATTCACCTGAACAGTGAACAGAATGTGCATTTGGGTCTATAGGGGAAAGCACATACTTTGAGGCAAAAAGGTTTTCGAATGCTAGAATTTTTCTTAGTTTTTCTCTGTCTTCTAGCAATGCACCCTGAATGTCCCTGAGTTTCAGGCTGTTAGCAGCAAAAAAAACAAGTAATCTGAAAAAAATCATTTTGGGCTCTGGAAAATTAGGATGGTGTTTATCTTTTTTTTTTTTATCAGTATGTTCTGCCATTTAACAAACTAAATGACTACCTGATCAATAATTGTCGTATTATTAAAGATAAGGTCTGGCTCTGGCACTCCACTGTCTTGTTTTTCAATTTACCAAATACAACAAAGTAAAGCCAAAAATCTGAATAGCTCCAATGGCACTGAAAAAAAAAACATCCATGTAACAGTCATCATAAATAACACATTAAATAAACTCATGACTACACGGCTGGAAAACACTGCCAAAAATGAATCAAATGCAACCCTGGTTCTTTGAAACACAAATATAAGAACAAAGCTGACTTTTTGTTGATGAATAAATTCAACGAGGAAAAAAATCCAGTTTCAAGTTTTCTTAAGTTAAACATTTCTAAGGGAATAAATAGAAATTAAAAACAAAACAAAAAGACAATCAGAAAAGAAATAACAGTTTAAAATAACATTTTAATTTGCAGCAAGAACTATTGCATGCCATTTTTCTTCTGTATAGTCACAATGATTCAATGACACAAAATTATTGTGACAAGCACGGAGTATATATGAATGAATACAAAAAATGTAAACAGATACATATGGTTTACATACGGAGAAAAGATGTACCAATCACACACAGGCTACCATGGACACGTTTAAAGGTAAAAATGTTGAATTCTTAATAATCAAGAACCTCGTGTTAACAATACTTCCATCTATTCCTGTGAAATAAAACACAAAATATAACCAGTTTTAAAATTAAAGGCAATATAAAATGTACTTTTGTAACAAATTAAACATTGAACAAGAAAAGTGATAGGCTTATAATTCTTTACAGACAGAAATCCATTTTGTGGTTGGCAAATTTTCTTTGGCATAAAATTAGACAATTCATGCATTTTTTTTTTTTGCTTGCTTTGAATGCTAAGACCAACCACTGTTGACACCATGACTTTAACATGTAAAATTGAATATATTAGTACTTATAACACTTTCATGGTTTATTTTCACAGGGCTGCTTTTCCTCACAGTCTCAGCTTGTTGAGAAAAATGTTTGCCTCAGTATACACTATGGCACAGATACATTAATATTTACACACATTATACGTTTTTTGGTGTCAGACAAAATGAGCCTCTCTGTGCTCAAGCTCCTGCAGCCGCCGGGGTCGCAGTCTTTGGTAGATAGGTTTGGACTCACTGGGGCTGAGGTCGTCTGGGCTGCTGGGAGGTGGAGACTGGGAGGGTGAAAGGGTTGCAGAAGTCGAGACCCCGGGGTCAATGGCACTGTCGGTGGAGTCCTGTGACTGGAGCCGTGTCTCTGTGGGGCTTTTAAGGGCAGGGGACAGGGAGGCTACTTGGGCATGGCTGGTGGGGGCAAGTGAGGAGGTGCTGGTGGTGGTGGTGATAGTGGTTACTGTAGTAGTCCAGTTTGGAAGTGTCCTGGCTCTGTTAATAATGGAAACAGGGGGCTTGTAGAAAGTTCCTGGAGGAGGCTGCAGAGTCCTTGGTGCCCTGAGAGTTAATAGAAGGTTTGGTGAGCTGCTACACTCACTGACTGAATTTTCTGTGTCATTTTCCCTTTTAGACGTCCAAACAGGCCTGACCGGCATTGTGTAGGCGTTTCTTGAAAATATGGTAGTAACGCTACTTGTGGTAGGAACCACAGAGGCCGTGGTTACAGTTGGGCCAGCAGTGACAGGGACTGTTGCCTTTACAGGCTGTACTCCAGAGCTGGCAGATGGCAGGTTGGCAACTATCATAGCAGTCCTGGGTGTAACATCATAGTGCTTGTACTTCCTGTCCCACGTTCTCCTCTGCATAGTCTGAGTGTCTATAAAAGGAGTGATGTAGTAGGTGCTAACCCTGGATGAACCACTCTGGCGAGCCTTCTCTGGCTCTGGTATCTCCTGTATAGTTTCAGCGATGGTGTCCCGCACAGCAGAGCCTGCATCAACATTATCAGCAGTGTTTCGGTTATTCCTCTCACTGATCTGAGCAGGGGTGGGCAGGCGTTCCAGCGGCATGCTGATTGGTCGAGATATGTGTCTGGTGCGCTGGGTGCGTAGCTGGACCTTCGGTGACATGGAGGAGACGGTGGTGCTGGGACGGCCAAACACTAGGTTTGACCTTTGAACTTCTCCACTAGAAGTCTGGATTCCATTGAGTCTGTCCAAGGCAGAGACCTCTGTTCTGTCTGTTCCTGGCTGGGCCTCCTGCATCTCATCCAGGATGTGTGAGGATGGGATTACTGATGAGTATCTTTTGTAAACTTTGGCACTCTGAAAGAGGTATAATTAACAATCAGATTACAATTGCAGCATTAATAAAAACTAAACTCTGACTGTATTTTTTTACAGCCAGGAACCAGATTATCAACTAAATGCAGAATGTCCTGTCATATCTCCCCGATTTTAACATTGCTTCAGTGTCTGACCATTCAGCTTAGAATACTGAAAAAAAATTTTTTTTTTTTACTAATTATCGACAAGGGCATCCATGGTCTTGCTCCAGATTATACTAAAACTTTTAAACCCAGGCAGGCCCTGAGGTCAGCTATTGAAAAACTTTGAGCTGTTCCAGCGACCACACTGAAAACCAGGCATGATTATGCATTTTTAGTTACAACCCCTCAGCTTTGCCACAGTCTTCCCCTCAGCAAAAGATTGGCAGAAATAAGTTTGTTCTTTTTATTGTCATATATTTGTAGTGTTTCAATAACAATTTAAACTTTTTAAATGAAATGTGCGGGCTGCAGAGTCCACTGAAATTATAAGTCCACTGTATTGCTGTTAATGCTGGGTTATATGAACCGTGACCTCCTGCTAATGAATCAGTACGTTGTGGCACGGGTCTTCAACAGTTCTTTTTACCAAATGTAAGATATAATAGTTGTCAGTGACATTGCACATCTTTTACTTAGTGTATACTTTAACTGTGAGGCTGAATATTATGTCACTGAGTTGCTCATACTCTAGCTATAGTCACATTGTGAACAACACGACTCAAATGCAACTCACTTCTTTGATGTCCATCAGGGAGGTAGAGTGTCTGCCAAGCTGCCTCACCTTCTCTTGCGGGGTGAGTTTGGGGGATGCCTGGCTAGTGGTGGAGATGTCGCAAACAGGTGGGGGTGACACAGCAAACACTGTCTGAAAGTTTCGCACTAGTAGCTCCACCATCAGTGCCTGGTAGGGGTAGTCCACCAGGGAGGACAGGGACACCTCAGCATCTGTCTGTCGTGGCTTCACCAGTGTGGGGCCGAATATAATGCCAAGGTTACTCGCAGTCATCTTGTTCTCCTCCGCCTGTTCAGTGACTCTGTGGTAGGAAGAGTGATAATGAGTTTGATGTCTTTCTTTGGCTATTGTTCAAGTATTTTGGTCTGGATTTTGAGAAACAGTACACTGAATCACAACCAGAGACAGAGAGCAGAGCAGTAGAGGCCAATTTATAAAATTTTAATTTGGCCAAAGGGTATTGCCTCAAAAAAAGGTGTCAGCAAAGGTTTTACTGAACCACCTTCGCTGGCAAGCGTCTTTAAAAAAATATTAAACATGCTTCAGGCAGCTACTAACTAATAAAAAGTCATTTTTTGTGATGTGATAGCCTAAAGGTCTGCAATTACTCTTCCAAATTATTAAGTAAATAATTAAAGAATTAAGTTAAACAAATAATTGTAATTTCTAGGCTTAGAATTTATGAAATATAAATGTAAAACGAGCCAAGTACAGAAAATTATTTTCACAAATTTTGGCCCTGGTGTCAGATTTGAAAATCTGCTAAATGAGACTATGAACAGAGCACAAGTTTTATGTTCCTGTGTTCTGCTACTTCCTCTGTGATATAGGGAAGTCTTGGTTTCCCTTTAAGTGTTATGAGGAAGTTTGTATGTGTGAAGAATGTCCCTCCAATGAAATAGCGCTGGTTATAGTTTAGTTCTTACCTGTTCAGATGTGCAATAAGGTAGCGCAGAGTCCTGTAGTTGGCTGCAGGCAGCTGGCAGAGTAGGTCTCTGATCTTGAAAATGACTCTGTTCAACTGGATGCTTGGCCCACCTTTCTCTCCTGGTTGGGTGCTCTTAAGTTTATCAGCCTCCTCCACAATGACCCTCTGGCACTCTTTGGCCAGGCCAATAAAGTCGTTGTAGAATCGATATTGGATCAAAGGCTCTGGTAACTGAGTGAAACAGCAATGTTTTATAACCTTATCAGTAGAAAATGTACAAAAAAACTGAATAAAATGTTCAATTCAATTAGGTACAATTACATAAGACTTAAACTTATAAGATCAGCTTAACTTCATGTTGATTTAATTTACTTGTGCAGTACTTTATACCACCATATGTAAAAATACAACAAAGGTTGCATAACAGTTGTCAAAAACATGACTACTAAGTTAGAATTTAAGACCCACCTGTCTCAGGTAGAGTTTGAGGACATTGCTGATGTCATGAGGTGAGAGTTCAGACAACTCAACCAAGTCCTTTCCATTTTCAAATGCCTGACAGAGCTTCTCAACGCGTGATTTGGCACCATTCACACGATAAATTCCCTGTAAGAATAAAACAAGTAAATAGCCGAGGACATGTTTAATATGAAATAAAACCACAGAAAAATATATAAACCAAACTATGGTATTTAAGGAAACGTAACAACTTTCATAACCATAAAAAACAACTGCAAAACAAGATACCAGATAAAGAATCTGAACTCCACTATAGGCATCATAAAAAATAAATTAATAAAAAAAAACCACCTACCTTGATGTTGAGGGCCCGACTCTCAATCTCAGATGTGCACTTCTTTATAATAAAGGGGATACCATCTGAGCTGTTTTTTGCTGCTTGGGCAAAGTCAATACCAAACAGGTGTAGTCTGCCTTGTAGCTTTTTGTGACCACACTGGATAGCGAGTGTTTCCAGACACTTCTTATGGCAAGCCAGAGAGCACTGGCAAAGGAAAGGAGACAGTGAACATTCAATGAAGCAGTACAAAGTGGCAGATTTCTTCATACTTGTTTTTGTTTTTTTTTACTCAAACAGTTACGAGACTTCAATGCTTTATTAACACCAATACACAACACCATTATCATTTCTACAGCTAATGAAAGAGTATATGTAATGTACCTCCTCACACTCCGCTCCGTGGAAAACAACCAGACTGTCACACTCTCTGCACTTAGATGGGGCTCGTAGTTTTCTTAGCTTATGGGTTTGAGCAGCTTTGGACATCTGGGCATTTCGGAAGGGGCCAGGAGAACTAGCCGTCTCTGTCACCATCTCTGCCAGACCTAAAAATTTGAGCAGTTAATAAGGAAAGTAAGTAGCTAGACAGGTGACATCATGCTGAGTGAATACTAGTAGGGAAATTGAGCATTGGTGATTAGAAATGTTACTACATTTTATTGGGGTTTTCGCACAACATAAAGGGTAGCTTGAAGTAGTTTTCCATTTATTTTATTCACACATTCACATACATAATTCACAGCCCGCTTCAGAAAATTCAAAGGAGTTACAAAGCCATGAAAAAAGGCAAACAAACATTTGCTATGTAGGATCAAACAAATAGAATGGTTGTTGTTGAAGTGTTTTATGAATAAATTGAGAAGTCCTCGTCATGCAGTTTAGCACACAGTAACATTTTAGGTTAAACAGAAGAACTGTTCAGCTGCTTCAATTCTCAATGAGAGCATAAGCACATTGACTGGGAAAGGTCAACACAGATACAGGAAGTGTAATTTAACACCATACGCCAAGACTAACATGACCCGCATCTGTACAGATCCACTGAGTGTAAAAATATTTGATATGAGCAAAAAACCACAACAGATACAGACTAGCACTATAATGCTACGTATTATGCATAACATCTGAAATTATGCAATAGCCTCTGAGTCCTTCTCCTTATTTTCTTCAACTTCCCTGTTATATAAATGGATACACTGGCTAGCTTTGTTACTGTAGACACAAGCTCAAAGTTTTTATACACGAGTATACACTTGAAAAATATACACAAAGCACAGTCACAAAGACAAAATGCACACACAAGCAGACCCTTCTCACCATTGTCTGAGGGGGATGGTGGCTCCCTCTCATCCAAATCATCAGCAGAGGACATGGTCCCAGTGGAAGGAGTTCTGGGCAGCCTTCGCTTGAAGTCACCTGCACAAACAAATGAAAGTCATGTGTACATTTAGTGTTAAATATTTCATAGCTTTGCATTGTGGCACGGAGTTTCAGAGGAAACTCCACAAAGATAAGAGAGGAGTGCAGTGAGGAAGGACTAAAAAGATCATAATAAGATGCATCCTTAACTTTGTATCTGTTCTGTTCTTCTCACTTAAATGTTTTTCCTAAAATTATTTATTAATCTCATCTGCACAAATGTTTCAGTTCCCTGCCACATGAATTTATCATTTTCATGTGTAAATACTGTCCAGACCTTTAAAAAATAATAAAAAAAAAACAATTAATGTGAAATTCTCTTACCTGGACTGGCAGTAGGAGAGTCCATGGACCTTGACTCGCTGCTGCCTCCAGCACTCTCCGAGTCACTGCACATCCCACCCTGGCTTCCCTGACTACTAGAGGCCCAGGCTCTCAGTGGTACTTGGCTTTTCAGTGCTGCAAAAACACATACAGACCACTGGTCACACAAAGACAGAATAACAACAGAGCAATGCAGCTTGATGCAATCGGTTTGTTTTTAGAGATATTGTTAGCATCAGTTTTAGTTATTTTCAGAAACACGCGGCCACACAGATATTCCAGCCTCATGATGAGTAACCAACACACAACCCCAACTATTCTGACTTTAGCCCTGAGAACATTTCCATGACTCAGAACATAGGTTAAGTCCCTAAGTGGCTCATACAAATACAGGTATGTTTGTAGGCTTGTTGAACCCATAGATTGCTGTGAGCCGTTCAACCTACAGCAATAGTACCAATCATTCTGGGCTTTGTTTCAAAAATAGTACATACAGAAATTCACATTGTAGTAGGAATATGTACCTTGTATGTCTGTGCTGCTGATGGACCTTCGCTCACTTATCTTTGCAGGTCGATGTAGGGGATTGTCCACTTCATCTCCGCTCAACACGTCACCAGAGGTGATTGATGCCTGCGACAGGTTGCCATGGGAGGAATGAGTGCTGCCCACTGACCTTTTGTTGAACATAAACCTGGAGAAATGAAGTCAACATTCAAGGTTTTGTGTAAATATAGCTGTATTGCCCCATAGTTCAGCATTACTATACTGCAGAGTGTGTATCTGCTGGGGTTTCACATGACTGTTGATGAACACCAGTGACTCAACAATTCTTAAACAGGAATTGAAATTATTGGCTTTCAACTTCTGCTAAACAACTTATGATGCCAACTTGTAATACAAAGAGCACAAGCATCTGTCCATCCATTATCTATACACTGCTTAATTGTCACTAGGGTGGCGGGGGGCTGGAGCCTATCCCAGCTGACTTAGGGCAAAGGCAGGGGACACCCTGGACAGGCTGGCAGTCTAGAGCACACCAATCTTGTGAAAAATTAATGACATAACATCTTTTAGTCTGCATGATACCTGTGTTACTATGATACTTCACTGCAATACAGGTATTTTACATTTTCTGTGTACAGTTTCTGTAAGGTCACTGCAATATGTAGTCGCCTCCATTATTCCATGTAAAAAAAAAAAAAAGAAAAGACCACTATGCTCTCTGTCCATTAAAGACGTCTCAAGGTTTTGTAATTCTGTAGCTGTGAATAAATGTAGATTGAAGACATACACATGCATCTGTTGAATTGTTCTAACTATCACAGCTTTTTCAGAAGTCAGTTGCGCCATAGTCGAAACTAAAAGAGAAGATTGGGAACAGGAACAGAAACTGAAATCAGCTCCAGCAGCAGACTGCTACAGCATGAACTGTGATGTTACACATTTCTGTGACTTCCCAATAATGAAGTACAAACTTGGCTCAAGTACTAAATTTACATTCTAGCCATAAAGACATTTTTTAGTGTCAACACCATTCATTTTCTCTTTACAGGAACAGGAATAGGGCTACAACATAACTTATCGCACTATTGAAGTAGTACTATAACACTGAAGTTAAGAAGTATTACTAATTTTCTTAGTCATAATGACTGTGTGTGAGAGAAGCTGATTCTGACACAGCTTTGACAACTTAAGTACAGTGTCAGGAAAAACTCCAAGCCAGAGCACAACTCTCACGCTTGCAATCTTTCCCGCTGCATTCAGCCTGCGCCACAGAGATTTCCTGAGGAAGGGCAAGAAATTCAACACGCGTTCTGTCTCCTCTAGATTCCCCCTCTCTCTCTCTTCCTCCAACTCTGACTCACTGTTACCTTTGCTGAAAGAAGAAGTGAGCAACTTCAAAATGGGTGGGAACAACGAAAACATATTTCAAAACAGTTCTCTAGAACTGAAGTTAAATCCAAAATGTTATCAAACTACTACTGCAACTGCACAAGCGCAAGTGTTTGTATCAGGTAGGCTCAGTTAACACTAACTGTCTAATACTATGACAGCATGTGCACCAATCTACCCTGTGACAACTAATTTTAAACTACGATATACCATTAAAAAAAAAGAGGATTGCAGGCAGATTTTAAAATTTAAGTGTTGGGAAAACCTGCACAGAACTAAGGAGCTTTGAACTTTGAAGATGTTAATTTCATGTTTCACAGAATAATTTTAAAGCCACTTTTATCAGTGTCCTTCCTGGTCGACTAACAATTTAGGAACTGTTTCCAGAAGGTGAGTGTGTATTCATAGTTTCTGATACCTGGTATTGTCAGAGGAGATGGAGTCTGAGTGAAGGCACTCTTTTGGCAGATTTTTCGGCAGGCTACGGACAAACTCAGCGTAGCATTCGCCTGGGTAATACAACTTGGCACTCTCACTCAGGGCTTGGTAGTGGGCAGGTAGTGACACAGTCTGCGCCTGCTGCATCTGAAACCAGTTCACTGTCACCTAAAACAATACAAACAGATTATTTAATAAAATTGAATGACTGAATCGTCAAATGACCCACTGACTGCCTACATGAATGAAAAAGTAAATCTGCAAATGAGTACTTGGTGATTGTAAAAGGATAAAAATGCACATTGATATAAACATGAATATATGTATAATCAACACTTTACATATCATGTTACCATTTAAATCACTCAAAAACTTTAAATATGTGCTATTGTTCACAGTTAGTCATTATAATAAAGGATGTCTTAGTCAAATTGAAAGCAAAACCAAATTTTCATCACGTGTTTTAGTATTTGCTTGTGGAACTATAAATTTGTTTACAATTGCACTCTACATTGTACTGGGGATATAGGTATATATTCCTCTCTCAGTTCATTGGTTTGTTAGCTGACTTATGAAATTATGAACTGTCTCTCACAGCTTTGAGGGTGAGGTCACACTGGAAGACTGTCTCTCGAATCTGACTGAGTATTGTGCTCTTAGCGTTGGCTAGATCCATTCTTCTGACGCCTGCGTCAGCCATACAGCTATGGTACTGGTCCTGGGCCTCCTCTGCCTGCCCGAAACAACAAGCATATGGATGTGAAAGCATTGCTACATTGTGCAGAATTCATTCTTCACACCAAATAACTGGTGTCACCAAACAGTGACACAAACTATTCTCCTCGTTTTCTTTTCTGCTGCTCACCTTCTGCAGAGCCTCTTCTTCTAGCTTCCTCTTCTTCTCCAGCTGTTTGTTCCCGGCATTAGACTGCTCCTCCTGGGAGCGGTTTGTAGATGACTGAGCCTTCTGGTATTCTTCTCTCCGCTGGGCCTTCAGCGCTCGAGCCTTACGCAAGGTTGCATCTGTCTCGTGCTGCCAACACCACACAGATTAGCCTCACAGCCCACGTGATTAAAATGTGACATAGGTGTGCAACATTTTAAGTACAATCAGATACACCTTTGAGGATTACACAGTAAAGTTTGTCAACAGCCAACATTGAAAAATTGTGACCTTATTAATCCATGAAACAAACACTACTTAGAGAAACAAGTCAGGCAGAAAAAAACTCACATCTTATAACTATTCAAAAAATGTATTCCTATATATCACTGATGACGCAAACTAATCTATTTTGTGCTTTTTGGTGGCTCTGGCTCAGGTGGTAGAGTAGTTGTCCTCTGATCGTAAGGTTAGCAGTTCGATCCCCCGTCCCTCCACAGTCGAAGTGTCCTTGGTCAAGACATTGAACCCGAAGTTGCTCCCAATGGCAGGCAGGCACCTTGCATGGCAGCTGCCTGCCATTGGTGTATGAATGTGTGTGAATGGGTGAATGAGAAAACATTGTAAAGTGCTTTGAGTGCCGCTAAGGCAGAAAAGCGCTGTATAAGTGCAGTCCATTTACCATTTTTCCAGACTGTAAGGCATGATTCTGAATATGCTGTGTATTTTTTTTCAATATCTGACAGTCTCCTGGCTATAACAGTGGCAACACTGACTAGTTTCTAATACCAAAAAGGTACTGGAAACATTGGGAACTCTTTTCATACCATTTTCTTTTGCTCCCTCTGCCACTGCTCCTTGATGTCTTTCCTCAACTTGTCAAGTTCATTCTTGCGGGCCAGAAGAGGCTGAGAAAAAAATGGAAGGTCAGCAATTGCACAGAGGTATTTCAAATGAGCCTTTAAAATAAATAAATAAATAAAAAGTTTAATAATCAAAAGCTTTACATAAAACAGAAGAGGCTAAAAAGGATTTAACTATATTAGCGTCTGTATCCCAATCAGCAGGTACTTGAACAGCAGAATATTATTACCAGCTTGAGGCCTTCAAGGAAACCACACAACTCTGTCAGACCCCAAATTTTAAAATTTGTTATGGGCAAACTTTTTCAACAAGGTCTTAGGTGTGTGCAAATTCACATAAGGTAAAGGGAGCAGATTACTAATTTTACTGTGGCTTCATCGTGGCAGTTTTACTTCTTAAATACTGTATATCTTAGACAGGAAGCAACAGTATTTTCACAGGTTGGCTGACATGTTGAAATAAACCAAGCAACAGATGTTTCTCAGATGCCCAACGTTAGCCACAGTGTGCTTCATTTTGTCACTCTTACCTGTATGAATTTATTGGCTTGAAGAGCCACTGCAGTTTGAATAAGCTGCTGGTTGTATTCAATGTCGTTCTTGAATGTGGAAACGTAGATATCACTGAATGGCATGTAGTCCTTAGACAAATGACATGAAGGAAAGCATGTTTGTGTACATTTTCCAACAAATATTACTTTTAAGGATGTAAAGTAACATTTTCATAATTATGACAGATACCAGAAAAAGTGGTTCTTTGGTTACCTGCTGACTGGCCAGCGTCTTTGCAGACTCCGCAATTTTAGTATAGCTTTTTGCATACTCAATATCTGGAAGAGAAAAAAAATGCACAGAAGAGTAAGGGACTGTTTATGTGACTGAACACAGATTTCACATTCATGAGTTTAATGTGATATGATTACATTCATTACATTACACACCCACACACACATATATATGATTTTTTTCCCCCAAAAATAACATGTAGGTAAAAGCCTTGTCCCCATTTTGACGACATGTTTCTTCAAATAGACAAAATGAACTGTACAAACAAAATGTGCATCATGATTCAGGGATCTATATGCCAAATGTTGTTTCCCAGGCCATTTTTCCATTCTATCTAGTAAAATGTCCTAATGCAGTAGTCCCCTGTTTGCAAGCCAGTTAGATGTCACAAATGTCAATGCCTCACCCATGGCTAGCCGTTTCTCCATCCAGGCTAGAAGGTCTTTAATATACTTGGACCAGGCCTTGGCATAAAGTAGAGCAGACTCCACACCACTATCATTCTTCAACAAGGTCAAATCAACTTCTTCCTCTCTTGACAGTGACACCTCTGGGCCTGTGAAGTCAACAGAGGAGACAAAATTACCAAACAAGTGGAATGGCCAAAAGATCCCTTTGTTGGATTGATGTATCTCAGTTCTACTATTCCAGCAGATGTGTGGGAGGCGGACAGAAAAAAGAATGAGGTCAGTGAAGTTTTCATTGTAGGAGGATATGAAAGTGTCCGGTATCTTTCTAATGTCATTATTTTCTTTTTACTGGTTATACTGTACAACTTCTCCTAGCCACCCACCATCTGATTCAACACAAACCTCATGTATTTCCATTGGCAGACGGAACTACTCTTCAACAGGCAAGGAATGTCAGATATGTGGACAGGGAGGGGAAACGAGCAACTAGTATGAAAAAAGCAGCAGAAATAACAGGGGTGGAAGTAGAGGTTTAAGGCGGGTCTACCTCAGGCATTCAAGAGTCCAAAGCTCAGCTAACTCACAACCTGACACTCTTAGGCTCCCTGGGCTGCAAAGCAGCCATTAAAAGCTTGTCAAAGAAGCCATTATTAGCTATTACATTTCAAGGTGAATTTATTTTACACATATATTAACATCAGAGATAAACAGAGAAACTAACTATTACACTTACCCACAAGATCACTTTTCCCCAAAACATATTCCTCAGGATCCACAAAGAGGTTGTCAAAAGACTGTGAAAAAGACATTTCAGATTATAAGAAGGGAATAGCAAGTATCCAATCAAAGTCAGACATCAGAAGCAGCTGGGCTTTCAACACCCCAATTAAGTACAGAAAGCAAGTCTTTGAAGCTTTTTTAAACAGGGGTGTGGTAAAATTGCTGCTTTAAGTGCAGCCTTTTGAAAGTTGACATGTTCCTAAATAAAGCCTTGACAAAAAAAATATCAGGCCTAAAAGCTGGGGGGAAAAAATGGCATCTCACCTTGCTTCTCCTGGGCTGGGGGATCCCCATCCCTGAGCTGCTGTCCACATCTCCCATAAGGAAGTCAGAAACTCTGAGGGGTAGATATATATGATAAAATACATGACAAAAGTGCAGCTTGGTATGGTCAAAACTGCAATCAACTCTGTAACAAAGTGACACTGAAGCACTGTATTTACAAGGATTCAAAAACAAAAAGCAAACCTATTATTCTACATATATAATGGGTTATCAAGACCAACAAGATACAGTCTGTTGTCTAAAACTTTTTTGGCTGTAACACAGCAAAGTAATAAAAGTGGTATTGAAAAGGCAAACAGCATTGTACTCACACATTGCCGAATGTGAATGCCAAAGTGTCAATGGATGTGTGGATCTCGCCAAAAACAGCGTTTTTGTTTTCTGGGTTCACTTCTTTGAAGTTAACGCCTGTTGAGGTAATAAAATAGACAAGAATTTCAGAATAAGATAAAATGGAATTTCAAACCAGCTTTTGTAAACTCAGTCATGTAGTTTGATGATGAGGTCTTTACCACCAATAGAAGAACCACATGGGCGATACATCAAAAGGATGACATACAAATGAAGCAAATAGCTAAATAACATTTTAAAACAAACTGCAATGTGTACTGCTTTCCCAGTGCAATCATAAGCCATGAAGAATACAGTTAACCGGTCGACTTTTGCAGGGGAGTTGGTTGTCACCTCTGCAAGGGCTAGAGTTGTTTTAAGTAAGTGCTGACATTCTTGATGACAAACAAAAACTCAGCTCCCCTAATCACTTACACAGGGTCAAGAGTCTTACAATGAAGGCTAAGAAAACAGATTTAAAACTACAACCATTAGAGCAGAGGCTGTCAAAGGTGTACAGTCTGTATGTCTTCCTGGCAAGTTAAAACTTCACTTTGGAACAGCTTCAAAGATCTTTAAGCGTGGACATTCAATAAATATTCAGAAACAATCCCAACTTGTCTTTACTTTGTTCAAATGTGTTCAAATCGCCTGGGCCATCGTGCTCACTGATCATGCACAGAGAAGGTAAACTATTCTTTGATTTGGGATCTACTGACAGCAAGAAGTCCTGTGATTTTAGAAGCTCGTCCAAGCTTGACAAATCTTCGTGAACACGTGAGCAGACCTTTCCTTCACACAGAAAACCCTTTACTCAGCAAGAAGACATTTGCAGAAAGCAATCAGAGGAACCAAAGCCACATTCAGTGAAATCCGAATAAGCTGAGTACTTCCTGTCTGCCCCGCAACAGGAAACACTCACACAGCTTGAGTTCTGTGACATGTAACACTATAGATAACCATGACAACACTTACCTTTTCTCTCTACCTCCTGACATCGTTGTCTAGTAACTGGGACCAGAAAACTTCGGCAAATTGGAGAGTGTGGAGTAAAAACCTCTAAACGCTCTTAGTTTCCAGACTGCTTTCTAGTTTTTGTGCTTCCATTTTCTCTTCATCAGAGTAAATTTGATCCACGTCAGTGGTGGATGGGTAAATATTTCCGAGCCTATGAAGAAGTATAGAAAGGTCATGGCATCCTGGATAGGGGCGTCAACCCCACTTTTCAGGGACGACTCTTGAGGATACCAAAAGAGAGGAGGTGCAGTGCGAGCTTCCCTGCCGTGCACCTCTCTGGCCCTGAATGCTAGCATACAACTCTGCACCGATTTCTTCCTCAGGACATCCTGTGGGTCTCATAACAATGATTCCAAAGCTCTGCCCCCTTTGTCGTGACTGAGATATGGAAACTGCATCATTCAAGTCCAGGGCTCATTGTTTTCTCACAGTTGAGCCTTAACTGAGACAATTAGTCCATTAAAAATGTCTTTCGTGTATCATTTTGTCTTGTTAAAACTTAATTTCTGTAGCATGGCGACAGCAACTGCTTCCATGTGACAGTGTTATTAGTAAGAAAAACTAAAAAAAAAAAAAATTGTATCTAAATGCATAAAATAGTATGCATTATCACTGAACGACATGCTTTTCTTATGTCACAAATTTACAATAGGTCACATAGGGACATGTTGCCGACATGCACATACAAGACTGACGGCAGTGAACAAATGCCCTCTGTCAGCTCCAAGCATATTCTCTAGACAAATGAGGACACAAAGTGAGGAAAGAATTTCTAAAGGGTGAGGAAGTTAACATTTTTATAGCAATGCCCTGCAGTCTTCAGTCAGGGGAGGGAAAAATGAACATTCTCTTCACTCTCTCAGAATGTGACCAGAAAAGAAACCTTGTCAGGGTCTGTTTTTAGCCAAATAAAAGCCTGTGAAATTATCATATTTGTTATGGCACATAAACAGAGAAGAAAAAACAAGTAGCAATAGCAGTCTGTGTCTAGAATGAAATCTCACGCATTACACAGCTAAGTAAAGCTGGGCATGTTCCTGACATTTTCAGGTTTAATAAAATTTGCCCACACTGTCAAATGAAAAACAATAATAGGAGAATAGTTTGAGTGGATACGACAACATTTTGAACTGGTTAGACAGCCATGTGTTTGGAGAGAAACAAAGGGCAGTAGTGAGGGAGGAGTTTTTTTTCCAATAAATTTTGGCAGCTGTCCAAATGCCCCAGGTGTCATGACCAAGCTTCTAAAAGAAACATGGGTGAAGAGACGACACACTCTGAAGACAGTGAGAAGCACAAGGCCTGTTATCATCCAAGCCTTTGAGTCTTCATCTCTGATGACTCACAGATTTATCTGTCTTTCAGCCTCTCCTTTTCAGTCCTCTTTTGGCTCACTGTCTGTGTCAGTATTGGGTTACCTACTGATCATTAGGGAGGGTGAGTTGATGTAAGGCACCCCCTTGTGGACAGGGAAACTCCTAAATCCACTACGTATGACACAAATGTATTTAGTGGTGCTAAATGGCACAGCTTTCCAGATAAGAACAATGGCACATTGCACTGCCATGTACAGCATCACCAGCCTTCTATCAGTGGTAGGGTGGTGCATGCATACCTATGTTCAGTTTTAGCATACAAGTAGATGAATATCTTGGTGAGATTGTTTTCTGATGAGTAACAATGCCATCATACTCACAACTTTGGACAGAAAAAAAAAGGAAAGGAAAAAAAAAACTTGATGAGCTTAATTTTTGTATTAGATACCAACTCCAACAGGCAGCTCTGGGATCTGAACATTCACCTGATACAAGTCCTTTCTTTTATTGTGTTTAAAAAATCTGTACACCTGACCCTCCTCAAGTCCACAGACACTAGAAATGATATGACTGAAGAACTGTAACTTGTTTTCCACAATTGCATTGACAAGAAAGTGCATTTACTGTGGCCTATACGTACTCCACTTAACAGGGACAGCACCAAGCCCAATCTGTTATATCCGATTGGCACATCCCTAATTATAATATCAAAAAGTCAGTTTTGTTAGTACCAGTTGAGGACAAGATTTTCAGATACTTAAAATATTGTATGAGTTTAACAGGGTTTCAAAGAAACATTTGTGTTTGACTGCTGCATAAATATAGACAAATGACAGAAAACTTTAGGTGTAAGTCAGTGTGAATGGGTTGCTTGTTGTCAGGCAGGTGTCATTCTTTGATCATGTGACTCAAGTTACAATGTGTCCCATTAAAGTTCAGTCTTAACAATGCAAATATTTCCTTTGGTTAATCTTATTATCTTTTGTTTCCTTGTTACATTCTAAACATTGCCAAAGCACCACTCAACAGGCCACAGATTGCAGAACTGCATTCTGAAGCATTCATAGGGAGTAAGTCACAGCTCAGATGTTGAAATAGAGTAGGTGATCTGTCAGACAACCAGACACCTCACATACAGCAAAAAGAATGAAGACACATGGATGTGCTTGATCAACAAGCAGCCTGCCAAGAGGCCTCTGCAGACGCTGAAATATGGAATGAAAATTACAGCCATGTAGTCGCCACTGTATAAATTCTTGTGTGCAAGTCAAGTGAAGAATTACACTTGCAGTGGATCACATTTCAAGCAGATGAACTTGTGAGTTTCCCCTTCTTTGTGTTCATTTAGGGCACGGGAAATAGATCAGTTGCTTGAGGAATAATTGCTTCTTGCACTGTAACCTTTTAGAAACATAGCTTCAAGCCACCTTCAACCAGCAGAGATTAAAAGAATATTCCTGAAGGGTATTTCCAACACGGGTCTGTTATGCTGACGTAAGCCCTTATCTTGAATCAGTGATGCAACAACAAGATTTCATGTCAATACATTTAAGAATTGTCTGGGTTCATGTGTGTCTTCACCTGCATGTCTGTGGTTACCCAAGCATGCATCTTAGTAATCACTGACCTTTGACCTTGGCAATGACCGTGCCAGCTGCTCCTAGGATGTCTACCGAGTTGAGGGTCTGGTGTTTCGCAATGACAGCCTTGAGGACACGCAGTAATTCTGTTAACCGTTCCTGCACCACCTCTTGAAGACCTTCCAGGTTTTCTGGGGAAAAAAAAAAAAAAAAGTAGGTCAGCCAGGCGAAGTCATGTAAGTGTCAAGACCTTAACAAGACTAAAGCAGTCAAAGTTTGCAGTCACACATATTTAACAATAAAGTCACCACTGCACTGCATGTTGAGTCACAAGTAAGCCAGTGTCAAATTCATTCTTGGCATTTCTTTTGTCATCATCACCAACACTTAGGGTAAAACATGACAGCAAAAAAATAATACAGTACATGTTCTGTTATGTTTTGTCTCTGTCTGTAGTTGTGCTTCCACTAAGAAAAGTGGAAGAAAGAAACAGTTGCGGTTGAGAGACAGTGACAAACTGTTGCATGAAACTACTGTGACGCAACTTGCTTCTTCCGAGCAGTGAACACCATGAACAACGGAAGAGGTGTGTATTGTAAATAGGTTAAACTCTGAGTCCCGGCTATAACATTCACATACAGGTTAAAAAGGATGAAGACAAACATTGTTATGTGCTTTTTGTGGTCATAAGTGAGGCGGTGTCACTGATGAAGGATAGAAAAATGAAGTTTAGAAAGCTTGTAAGTTACCAGTGATTTAAATTTACTGAATGAAAAAAAAACTGTGTTGCAGAGTTACCATAAACTTGTAAAATGTATACAAATCATAGATCCTCAATGCAAAAGAAGAAATAAAATTTTGGCTGTGACTGAACACTGAAGGGACACACATGGTACCAATTATGCAATCATATATTTTCTCCAACAGTCAGCAGACAGTGGGAGCAGTACAGTTCACGAAGAGCTCGCAAGAAGATTCCAATGGCAGTGAGGTTACAGAAGATGACAGGAGGAGGAAAAGAATGTAAGAAATGCATTTAGAATACTCTGTCCGAATTTCTAAACCACAGCCTATCAGTCATTTTGCTATGAAAGACATCCCTTTGCTGTAGAAAAAGACAAAGCAGTGAAGACTAGTACCCCTTTTTTTCATGCGTTTCCCAAAGAGTTTTTGCTGGACATATATGCTCTTCTTCTTAACTCAATAGCTGCTCTCAATATTCTAGTGTTGCCTGTGTTTTCATAAGTCCTACAGAACTTTTCAAAGCAGTGCTGAAGTGTGTTTTACAGCTAATTGAGGTCTTTGAGCAAAATGAAAGCCAGCATAAAAACTATAAAACATGTGACACAATGAACTTCTGAAAACACCAAAGCAGCAATAGGAGAGGAACAGTTTGTCTCCAGGCTAATCAGTGGAGGCTCCACAAGTTGGCACCAGACAATAGGTGAGTTCATGTCTAACTCACTGTTTTGGAAGAAGCAGGGGCACTGGCTGGAAACAGAAGAGTCATCTGTTCTTCATCAAGGCTACCCTACCAAGCAGCAGGGTGAGACGAGAGACTGAATTTATTGGAACGTTAAAAGGAATTACAGAGGGAGTGAAAATGAGAGCCTGGGTCTGTGAGCGTATGTTACCCTTTCCACTGCTGTCCCGTTCATATGCATACAGACACTAAATCAACCGTCTGGTGTTAAATGCGGTAGAAGACACATTATCAGCAACTGAGGCACAAGCCCTGGTCATCTGTGACACCATTTCACTAATGATGGGAGAAATAAATAATAATAATGATGCCAAGCAAGAGACGCAAGATAACACTACTGGCAAGACAAAGAAGGGCGTTTCTTAAATAATTTCATTTTCCTAGTCAGACACTAAACAGTCTCTGTCCCCTGCTTTCATCCCAAGTTTAAAGAAAATGTGTCCTTTGCAGCAGGGCGCTCACCTGCTCACTTGCCCCAAGGTGAGAGGTCGAGGACCCTGCAACACATGCTTTAAAGTCCACCTCCCTACCATCACTGACAATAACTCTTCATGAAGCTCCCACCCCTTTCTTTTAAACCTCCTGTGGTCATCAGGGTATTCATGGTTAGCTCACTGGCTTTTGAAGATTCTTCTATCAAAGACGTGTGTGGGTTGGTTATTAGCATATAAGAGCCAGTCCTAATGAGGCGCACACCTGAGAATTTTCACTTAGCATTACACAAGCGGAGCATGACTTTAGTAACTGCTATAGAATCACAGCACAATTGTAGGTTCAAATCACCCATTTCCTTTTCCTCTGAAAAGAATTTAATTACACTAATGTATTCTTCAGAGTAGCAACGGAGGCACAAATTGCAAGAAAATACCAATAGCTGTGATGTTGTGGCAACAAAGAGATGTCCTAAGCCAGTCTGCTGGACAAGAGTTTAAGCCAAAAACAGCATTTTTTCATCTGTTGTTTGATACCCACTGCCAACTGTCACAAATGCAGCACTGTGCAGGGATAAAGCAGTGAGTGGCACAAACAAATAAATAGCAGACAGCAATTTCAATTAATGACAAACACAACGACAGCAACCTTCACCACACAAAGACTATATTTACACTATTGAGAGCAGAGCTTCATGCATCTATTCAGGCAATATTTCCACCACACTTCTAAGAGGGGGGAAAAAACACATACTAGAAAACATTAATTAGTTTATTACACATTTGGAAATAGAATTAAACATTCAAACTACTTTCAAGCTAAGTGTGCACATGTGCTTACGTTTCCCATGTGTATGTCAGCCTAGTCTGTGGAGGCTACTTAGATCACCTTTAATTCTTCATTTTGAAAGCCCAGATTAAAAATATTAACAAAAAAATGTCAATTTAAAAGAAGAAGCAGGAATAAAGTTATTAGAACAATCAGGACCATTGCTGCTCTTTTATTCATGTGAAACATCCTGTGCTTACTGCAGCGTAGGCAACTGAGAGAAAGCTGGTAAGAATCAGTAGTGAGTGGTTTTGTCACAACAGTGACATCAAAAAGGGCACTGGAAATTTGCTGGTGATTGTTGGTTCCATTCCATTGTTTTGGTTGAGATAACAGTGCTGGGGCAGAGAGCGGGGCCATATTGTTTAAAGGAAGACCCCCTGCCAACGCCAATGCAGCACAGATCTGCTGTGTCTTTCTTTACAGTGGTGAGATGGGATGGTTGTCCCAGCCACGCTTCATGCTCGGTCTGCTTCATTTATATTCTACAACATCAAGACCTCATTTCCTTTTAGGAAAATAAATTTACTATGAAATAGTATTGTACAGATCACAACAGTAAGTATTTTTCTCCTAACTCAAAACAAGGAAGGGCAATGAAAAACAACACATGCTTGTGCGTATTTAGGACACTGAAACTATAACAGAAAATTAACAAAATAATTGCATTTATTTATTTTTTGACAGAAAACTGGATTAATTAATCAAGCTCTGCACATAAAATTTAAGCTGGAATGTTGTAGCAACGCCATCAACTGCTGAAATGCTTCAAGTCTTTCTGATACACAAATCAGTTGTGTCATATTAACAAGTACAGTAAGGGATTCAGCTCTGAATTTACTGGATACTTTTTATTCAATTTAACTTTGAATATAAAAGTCAGGTCTCCAGTATTTTTTTTTCTATTTACAAAGATTTCCTCAGTGTTCCAATATGTAAACACAAAAAAAACTATACCAGTGGAGGAATTCAGAAGACACTCCAACGTGTCTAGCACTTATCATCTAATCTCTAGTTTGCAATGCAACACACATCAGGTAACCGAAGAATGATGGTTGAAATTTCCATGATTGTAGAGTTGAAAAGATTAATGAACTAGTGTTGCATCACCTTTGAAGTGAAACTACCAAAAACGAGTGCATTTGCATTTATATAATGTTGCATGTTCTTTTCAACACATTTCCAAAAGTAAAACATTCATATAAAGAATTACAAATAAACCATTTTTGTTCCTAAAATAAATCTAGGTTCATCAAACTGAGGCACCCCTCAAATTATATCTTGACTAGAGATACAAAGACTTGGAATATGGTTCAAAAAATCTGTAGATTTCAAACCATGTCAATTACAATAAATTCCTCTAGTGACCAGTTTTCACAGGAAAAAAGGGGTTATTAATGTCAACAGAAACTTCTCAAACCAGTCATCCAGAATAATCCCACTCTTTGCAAGTCAGTCTGTATGGTCACTATGCTGAAAACAGCCATAATATTTCTAAATACTAAAAACTTATATTGTTTGGAGTATTGCTTTTAAACAGTTTTAAGTGGGGACTCTACTTTAACGAAATGCAGTAGCTCCAACATTTGCCTTTTAAATTAATGTTGCCTGTGAAACAGTTGTGTGTGTGTTGGGGGGGTCCCATTGTGTCCAACAAAGCTCATTGTGAGTCTGGTGCAGAGAAAGACAAATCTAATCCAAATCTTCAGGTGGCCTGACAGAGGTTACAGCCTCTGCTCCCCCCACCGATAACAACAGGCAATCAACTAGCCCGTCTGGACACGCGATCTGCTCAACATGAAACAAGCCTCGGAAGCTCTGGTGACACAGTGCTGCTTGGGAAACAGCTGCAGGGCTTTACTGAAAGACCAAAGAGGCTACGTTTCTCCTTGAGCATTCCTCCTCCTCTTTACTACAAGAATGGAGGGTGACACATTTACAGCTGTAGCAAGCAGATGATTCTCAGATTTTCAGTCAGTTGTGTATCCATCTACCACATTCCACACTGGTGACACGGTATTTCCTGTGGTGATTCAGTCTTCACCCCAAATGAACCCCTCAAAATGGGAATGGCCACTTTATGTCCCTCCCAAAACAAGTTTAATTAGAATTATTTACAAATCTCTTTACTCACAAACCATAAGTCCAGAAAAAAAAATCACTGTACTCACTGTAACAGCGTCTGCTTGCATTGCTGAACTTGCTGCAACCTGATCTGCAACAGGTGGAATTGTTTGGTCAGGATTCCATCTCCAAACACTAATTTTCCCCTCTGTCTAAACAAACGCAACATTGCTGGGTGCCTCTCCGTCTTTCTCATGCCTTGTTTGGAGACAGAGCGTACCCCAGACATTGCACAGAGAGTCAACAGCAGGCACTCCATAACCAGCTACCTGTTCTAAGACTATTAAGCCCCTTTCAGAAATGCAAAATGAAACATTGCTGAAT